GCAATCCTAGCACTCTGGGAGGCCGAGGAGGGCGGATTGCTCGAGGTCAGGAGTTCGAAACCAGCCTGAGCAAGAGTGAGATCCCGTGTCTACTATAAATAGAAAGAAATTAATTGGCCAACTAATATATATAGAAAAAAAAATTAGCCGGCACACGCCTGTAGTCCCAGCTACTTGGGAGGCTGAGGCAGGAGGATTGCTTGAGTCCAGGAGATTGAGGTTGCCGTGAGCTAGGCTGATGCCATGGCACTCACTCTAGCCTAGGCAACAAAGTGAGACTCTGTCTCAAAAAAATAAAAATAAATAAAAATAAAAAAATAAAAATAAAGATATGGCAAAAGATATGGCAAAAAATAAAGATATGGCAATTCCAAGTGAAATAGTGAATCTAGTAGGAATTATTAGTAGCTGTTGAAACAAACAGATGATAACACCTGGTATCATAATGGATCGGTCTGGATGATAACACCAGAACCCACCAATTGATTTCAGCATTACAAACAGGTACCAAGACACCACGTGCCTCCCACGTGATATGACAGGAAGTTCCAACTCCCCTTCCTCTGATAGAAATTTCTGAGACAAGGTCCTGATACTTTCTCAAAGGGTACACTGTGAAATGAATTGTGCCCCCCAAGATATGTTCAAGTCCTAATTCCCAGAGCCTGCAAACATAAACTTATAGAAATAGGGTCTTTGCAGATGTGATCAAATCAAGATGAGGTCGTTCTAGGTTAGAATGGGCCCCAATCCAGTGACTGATGTCCCTGTAAGTGATAGAAATTCAGACACAGACACAGAAAGGGAGATAGTGCCATGCGGAGACTGTCCAAGACTGGAGTGATTCATCTACAACCTGAGGAAGGCGGCCTGAGGACTGCGGCCCTCAGCACAAGCTGAGACACAAGCCTGGGGCAGATTCTGCCCCACAGCCCCCTGAAGGAGCCAACTCTGCCTGCACCGTGTTTCCGACCTCTCATCTGCAGGACTGAGAGGGAATACATTTCCGTTGTTTTGAGCTACCTGGCTTGTGAACCTTTGTTATGGCAGCCCTGGGGATGACGCAGGCTCCAGTGGGACCGCACTCCAGGTGCCCTTGGTAACCCACGCGTTGACACAGTCTCGCTTTAGCTTTCTCCTTCCCCGTCTCCTCTTCCCACTTCCTCCTCATGCTTCTCGTAATCACCCCTCAAATAGGCAGCCTGTGCCGAGGCCCTGGGGGTACCCAAACCAGGGCAGGTAGTGTCAGAGGGGACCTGGGGAAACAGACACTCAGGAAGGGAGTCTCAACACACACTGTTCATCAGCTAGATGGCACAGCCACAGGATGCTGCATCAGTCAGTGTTCTCTGGAGAAACAACTAACAGGATCTATCTATCCATCCATCCATCTATCTATGCATTCATACATCTATCCCTCTATCCATTTATGTATCTATCTATCCATCTATCTATGCATCCATTTATCCATCTATGTATCCATCTATCTATCCATTTGTCCATCCATCTATCCATCCATCCATCCATCAATCCATCTATCTATCTATCCATCTATCTATCTATCCATCTATCAAGTTATTATGAAGAATTGGCTCATGTGACTATGGAGACTGCCAAGTCTACTATGCAGGGTGGGCCAGTAAGCTGGAGACCTAGAGAGAACTGGGAGAGAACTGGGAGAACCTCCAGTTTGAAGGTATCAGCTAGAAAACTCTCCTTTACTTGGGGGGAGGTCTTTTTGTTCTATTCATGTGTTTAACTGATTGGATGAGGCCCATCCACCTTGGGGAGGGCCATCTGCTGTACTCACTTTACTGATTCAAATGTGAACCCATCCAAAAACACACTCACAGATACACTCAGAAAAATGTTCAACCAAATATCTGGGCACCTGATGGCCTAGTCAAGTTGACACATAAAATTCACCATCACAGATGCCATTGCTAGTGCTACATGGGCAGCACACTTCCCATTCTGTACCATCATGACGATGGCACCTCTCACCTGTGCTGAGCTGGAATGAGGAGCAGGTGTCATGGAAGCAATGGCCTATGAAATACTCAACGCCTGAGGGGCCAGGGCTCTGCCGAATTAGAGTTCACTTCCCTGGTGATGGGAGTCAGTGGGTAAAGTCTTACCCTTCCTGACCTCTAGCCAGAAGACTCTAAGAGTCGTTGCACTGTGTGTATCAGAGGCTCCTGGGGATCGAAGCCCAGTTGCTCACTGCATCCCCCAACCTCTTGTCCACACCTCCCTCCTTCACTGTCCCTCTTGGGACCACCTCTGTAAGCCACTGGCACCCAAGCTGTGGGCTTGGGATCTGCTTCCGGGGGAAATCCAAACTAGGATAAGTATCTTATTGGCTTTATGTTTCATGTTATACACCACATTGGTAAATGTTTTCTAATGCTGCTTAATGTTTCCACCATACATGTTTATAAACTAGTTTTCCTGCCTTGCATCTTTAATTTTTAGCATTTGACTATATTTCTCTCAAATAAGTAGGACCTTGTCTCATAAAATAACCTACAGTAGATACAGTGAGTTGCACAGAACTGCTCCTTACTGTATTCTTCAATCAAGATGTGGTCCCACTCAGTGACAGTGACTCTACAGAAAGTGACTACTACACTCTAGGTAAATGGCCAGCTTAAGGCTGGGGTGGATTTTGCCTTTTTTTTTTTTTTTTTTAGATTTTGATATTTTTGTAGTGACCCAACATGAGCTGATTCAGCACAGTTCAGCTGAGCTTTGATAGTTACTGGTGTGCAGCTGAGGTGGTGGGTGTTCAGCCAACGACAACCTGGAATGCAGCTACCAGGCATTCACAAGCAGCCAAGCTGTGTGTGAAGCTGACATCCTCTCATGGGAAAGGAGGGGACTGAGGGACACAGGCTTGCACTGAAAGCCACTCTACACTCTCTTGAGGTGAGTCAAAGGGGCGGCCACAGACAGGGCCAACATTCTCCTTAGACAACATCTTAATCGGCTCTAACCCAATAGACCAGTGATGGTGGCTGCAGACCGTACTCCACAGCACGTGTCCTCTGTAATGGGAACTTGGAAACATGTTTAGGAAAGTCTAACCAAATGCTGCCTTGGATACTAAAACAGCTCAATTAAGCACCTAAAAATATCTATCTCTGAGCAATGTTACTTTCTAGAATCTCTTCCAAATAAACTTTTTTGAAATTAATGTATATCCAAGGTAGAAGAACATGCTATAAAGCATTTCAAAGTCTGGGCTTCTCCAAAACTTCTCCTCGAAAGATCAGCTGTAAGAGTTGGCTTGTGCACCTCCATCCTGACAGTAGTTGGCCCCAGGTTCGCTGGTCTCCCAAGGCCACTCCCTAGAGCTGGCTTCTTCAGAACACGGCACTGAGTCTATGTGAATCTTGTCCACCAGCTTGTAAGCGCCAGACCTAATTTAGCAGAATTTGAAATTGTAAGGACTGTATTCTAAATTATTTCTCCAAATCAGTAGTAAAGGGAGTAACTAGGAATCCCAGAGGGGGATGAAACCCTTCCTTGGAAAAGACTCTGGGTAAAAATCTTGTCTTAGCTGTTAACTGCTCTGCTGTTTTCCTGGAAGGCTTACAGGGAAGCAGGGGAAAGTGAGCGAGGTGCGTCGTCCTGGAGTAGCATACCCAGAATTTGAGCTGGCCATCTGACCACTGCAATGAAGTGACGGGATGCAGGTAGATAGAGCACTTCTCAGAGTGGTTTAACAGATAGTAGCTATTATCACTGAGTATATTGCCCTCATAATCCAGAATTCATATTGTTATTTGAATTGTTTTGTGTTTGTGTTTGGAAAGAAAATTTTAACCACTTAATTCAAAGCTGGAAACAAATGCAATTAATGATTGCAAGAGAAGTTCTCTGGAAGAAGGCTGGGGAAGAGGACTTAAGCCTTTCATTATTTTTGATAGCTTTATATGGTTGCCAGCCTTCGTCATTAAATGGATTAACATACGTGGCCCGCACATAGTAAGTTCCCTATAAGTGGTTGCTAATGATGCTATTTTAAACTGCCAGGGAAGTCACAGCTGGCCAACCGGGAGAGCAATCAGGTCTGTGGACGCAGTAAATAGAAATCCGTGTCCTTCTTGAAGGAAGAGGCTCCATTCCTTCTTTGGCATGCAAATGGATAAATGTCATCAGCGGCTTGAAGAAGCTTGCGCAGCAGGCGGCAGTTGATGTTCGAGTTCTTTGGCTGGGCCTGTGCGGTGCGCGTTTTCTGCCCGGTCTCAAGCGGCGCAACCGAGCGCCCTGTCCTGGTTGGGCGGTTCTCATGTTCCTTCCTGATCCTGGGCGCAGACCCCTTTCCTGACCTTCCTCCCACCGGGTTTGCAACGTCACCATCTATGTGCAGCGGAGTCGCGCAGGGCTCCGGGCTGGTGCCCCAGGCCGAGCCGCCCCTGGCCGCCCGGGGAGGTCACCGGCGTGCCGCCCGCCTCCCGCTGGGGCGCACGCATGCCCGCCGCGCCGCCCGGGCGCCCGTCCCCCAGGGCTCCGGCAGCCTCGGGAAAATCAATTCCTCCCTGAATTGGACCCATCTGGTTACAGATTTAATTATCATCTGTGTTCCGTAATTATTGGCTTGCAAGGTAACGAAGAGAAACAAACGTCTCGTTTTCAGCGTCCTCCCACCCCTGAAATAAAACTGCAAAAATAAAAAGAGCATTCTGGGAAGCGCTTAATAATTCAAACATTCACAAACTGAAAATACAAACAAAGGGCTGGGAGCCCCCAGGAGGGGCGCGGGGCGCGGGCTGCAGGTGAGCGCAGGTGCGCGCGGCCCTGCTCAGCCCCGCACGGCTCGCCCGGCCCGGCCTGGCGCGGAGGCGGCGCGGGGCGCGGGGCGCGGGCGGCGGGCGGGCCCGCGTCTTTCTTCTCCTGGCGGTGATGTCATTGGGCGAAGGCGGCCGAGGCCGGGGGGCGGCGGCGGGGGCGGCGCCGGCGCCCGCAGGTTCCTGAGGCTCTAATGAAAAGGCGCTTGACAGCGGGCCAGGACGCACGCGAGGCAGCGCGAGCCGGGCCGGACCTGCTGGGCCGCGGAGCCAATCGCCGGCGCGGCCCCTCCATGGGCGAGGGGGCGGCGGGGGCGGCGGGGGCCGCGGGGGCCGGCGCTCCGAGGTGAACGCGCGGCGCCCGCCCTGCCGCCCAGCCGCAGCGATGAATTCCGCCGAGCAGACCGTTACGTGGCTCATCACCCTGGGGGTGCTCGAGTCGCCCAAGAAAACCATCTCGGACCCGGAGGGCTTTCTGCAGGCGTCGCTGAAGGATGGGGTGGTGCTCTGCAGGCTGCTGGAGCGCCTGCTGCCCGGGACCATCGAGAAAGTAAGTGCGGCCGCGGCCCCCGCCCGCGCCCCCGCCCCGGCCCGCTGCGGCCCCCGCGCGCGGAGCACCTGGTGCGGCGCCCGGCTCCCGGCGGCCGCGCGCCCTCCTTTGTGCGCGGACCGGCGGCGCGGGGCCCGTGGCGGGAGCTCCGGGGGCGCCATTGTGTGCGGGGCGGGGGAGGGGGCGGGGGACCGTCCCGGGAGGGGGAGGGGGCGCCGGGAAGGGCAGGGGAGCCGTCCCCGGAGGGGCGGCCGGGCGCGTCCCCGCGGGTCGCGGTAAGGAGAGTTCTCGCACAGGAGACAGGGTTTCTGCTCCGCCCGAGGTTAAGTTGCTCCTCCGCGTTGGGAGGTCGCCGGCTCCCTCGCCGTGACCTGATCGGGAAACCTGCTTCCCCCCGTGCAGTTCACTCCGCTGGCTTTGTTTGAACAATTTTTGTCAGTGGCATGCGTGAGAGTTTCACCCTTCCTCTGTGCAGTCGACCAATTGTGCATTTTAAAGATGCATCGTCAGTAACCGAGGCTGGGCTGTGAAATGATTGACCACTTTCCCCACGAAGGAATTCCTCGTGGACCCAAGCCAGGAGGGTGGCACACACGGGGTTTAAGAGCCCTGCCATTCTTCCACGCCCGTTTGCAATCCCAGATTGCATTTCCAGGTTCATACCTGATTCGGGGCAGAATCCTCAGTCCTGCAGACACTGCCGCTCTCCCTCTGGACTGGCGGTTCCCCAGGGCTGGGGAGTGAACCTTGACCCGAATCTCTGGGAGTGATTAAAGTTTGTTTTCAGCTGAGCCGGGGCCAGGGGACAGGAAAGCCTTTAAATAGGTGGCTCCCTATATGTCAAAAATACTAAAATCTTATCCCAACATTTTTTTTTGCCAGTGTATAATGTTAACCATCAACAGTTTCTTAAAAGGTGTTAAATATAGAAATTGAAGTGCACCATCATAAGGAAGAACCAATTCATTTTAAAAATGAGGTATATTGACTCCAATGCAGGAAGACAACTTGTTAATGAAATACTACTTAAGTGACTTGAAAAAGTAAAATAGTCTTATTAATAAGTTTGTACGTGTTCTGGTGCTACATTTAAAATTAAGTCAGAAAGCATTTTATTTAGTCTGAATTTTGCTTGCATGCCAGTTTTAGACATTTTTCTTACTTGGAACATATTTATGAAAACAGAATCTACATTTTAGTATGAATAGCTGCCTTCCTGTAGTGAAATGAAAATGTAGCTGGTAGATGAACCTGATGTCATAATAAAATTATGATTTAAGACAGGACTAAAGAGCAGGATCTAACTTTCAAGGCACTCAAAATACTTTGTTGTCATCTGGATGTCGGTACCTCTGGTAATAAAAGACAGATGTTGAAAAGCGTTGAAATGCATGCTAAGTTTACCAAAAGAGGCTTAAATAAAATACTTTTCGATTTCTAAGAGCAAAGCATTAAGAAACTTCATATGCTGTGTTGATAAAAAACAAGGCACCGTCAAAGCATATGTTATTTGGCATATTAAATGCATTAATACTGATTGAGAGACTTTAATAATGATTTTCTTTTAAATTCTAGCAAGATTTTCTTAGAAAACTGTAGTATTCCTTTCATCTCTAAAACAACAAAGAGAGGAATGAATAAAATGTTTAGCTTGCAGAAGCCAAGTTGAAACCACCCAACATATTCCAGTCACTTGGAGATTTCTTAGTTTGAAGCTGGTCTGTTATTTCCCTTAAGCCCTATACATTTATTTGAAACTGACTGTATCACAGTGAAAGCTTACTGTTACAGCAGCGAATTCCAGACAGTTACTGATTCTCTGTGGTTCAAAGGTAGGTTTTTGGACTAAAATATTAGTCATTCTCTACCTCTAAAATCCCTGGGTTTTAGAAGTTTCAGGAGTTTCTTCTGTTTCCTAGGAATAGTTATTTATTTGAGCTTTTCAGTGTTTGCATGCATACCAAATAATACATGCCACAAAGCGCACATGTTAAATAACTTTTACTTAAATGTGGGAATGTAAGTCTGAGGATGTATTTCCTTAAAAAGGAATATTTGGCAACTTAATATTTGCATGGAATTGAAAAGGCCTTAACTTGACCAGTCTGCCACGTGAGTGCAGTGACAACCAATGAACAGTGTAAGCTGCCTGCAAGGTAATGTTGCAGATCCACAACTTGAAGTTCACCATGATATTAGGGTAAGCACAAAATTGAGAAAAGTTGCTGGAGTGGCTCTGGCTTCCCATATGCCTTTTATTAAGGAACCGTGTGCTAACGTGTTTCTTCCATTATGTTCATTTGTTCTGTTTTAGAGCTGGGGATAGGTGCAGGGAACGGAGGGGACATTCACTGAATGTCAGATTCTTCTGCTCATTTAAAGAAAACATTCAGGCCGGGCGCGGTGGCTCACGCCTGTAATCCTAGCTCTCTGGGAGGCCGAGGCAGGCGGATTGCTCAAGGTCAGGAGTTCAAAACCAGCCTGAGCGAGACCCCGTCTCTACCATAAAAATAGAAAGAATTTAATTGGCCAACTAATATATATAATATAAAAATCAGCCGGGCATGGTGGCTCGTGCCTGTAGTCCCAGCTACTCGGGAGGCTGAGGCAGCAGGATTGCTTGAGCCCAGGAGTCTGAGGTTGCTGTGAGCTAGGCTGACGCCACGGCACTCACTCTAGCCTAGGCAAGAAAGCGAGACTCTGTCTCAAAAAAAAAAAAAAAAGAAAACATTCCATCCAGGTTCTCATTTATGAAGTTCTACTGCTTTTCTTCTAAGGTGGAAGGTTAGACAGTGAGAAGAAGGAATTTGGGCTTTACATGAGCAGTTCAGAAGAAAGACCCTTTTCTTTCTTCCCACCAAAGTTCTCTGCTGTAGGGGAGAGGAAAATGGCATTTAAATATTTCCCCATTCTTTGTCTCTGAAGGTCTTGCACTTCGATTTTCCCCCACAAGGGCCAGAATGTTTGTAGATCACTTGATCTAGGAGTTCAAGACCAGCCTGAGTAAGAGTGAGACCCTGTACTAAAAACAGAAAAAATTAGCTGGTTGTGGTGGCGCACGCCTGTAGTCCTAGCTACTTGGGAGGTTGAGGCAGGAGGATCCCTGGAGCCCAGGAGTTTGAGGTTGCTGAGAGCTAGGCTGATGCCACTGCACTCTAGCCTGGACAAAACAGTGAGCCTCTGTCTCAAAAAACTAAATAAATAAAAATAAAAACAAGAACAATATTAGGCAGAAAAAAATCAAGTCATGTCAGACATGGCTTAAAAGGAACAAAGGAATCAAGGAGCTAAAGGAGACCATCAAGTTCCCTGACTTGTGGGTTAGAATATGGTTGGCATTTCCCCAGACTGTAATCTGGCAGCCCGAGGTGACTCCGCAGGCTGCAGATACCAGCAACTCTGATAGAGCTTTTTCCCAATTGGCTCAAGACTCACTTTCTGTTCGGTCTCTGGGTTCTGAGTCTGGCTAGGGCTTGGGTGGGAAGGAGAATGAGTTCCCCACAGCACTTGGGCAGAAGCTAAACGTGCCCGCTGCTAGAAACCTGCCTTTCCATAGGCCCTTCGGCCCTAAGAAGGGTGTGGTAGTGATGACCGGTGGTGACAGAAACAGTTCTCTCTCAGGCCTGTGTGGCAGGTGTTTGTAAAGTCTTGCTCACTGGTTGACAAGTCACTCGTAGAGAAGTTACAAAGTGATATCTCTAGACTGTGCTTTTAAGGAGACTTCTTTGGTTATATCAAGTTGCTTCTAACTAAACTACTCTGATTAAGGCTTCAGAATAGTGAGTTTTGCATTTACTTTTGAAGCATGTGACTTTATAGTCCTGTCTCAGCCTTGAACCAGTGAGCATCTTGTTTTGGGTCTCAGGCCTAGAGAAGAGGTAGCTTTAACTGCATTTGCTGGCTCATTGAAAATAAGGCAAACAAACTTCAATTCAATTCAAATCAGGAACACCTGAGAGTCAGACTAGGAACTAGTGTTTATGTTGGCATCATACGTGCACAGGAGTGCACACACACAGGCGTGTACACGCATCAGCACATGGATACACATACACACGTGCACAGGTGCACTTGCATGCACACAAACACAGAGAGCACAGCGCCCACTTGGGCCTGGGGACTGAAGATTCCACCGGACGGCGTTTCCTCAGGGGCAGCTGCTGTGTGAGCTGTGCTGCCCCAGGGAGAGGCCCTGCTTCTATTAATAGAAATAACCCCAGAATCCGCCTGCTCGCTCCCTTTCTTTAGGCACTGTCCGCCTTTATATACATCTCTTTTAAAGAAAAAGAAAACGTCTGCCCAGAGGTGCAGGCGCTGTGCTGTCTCCTGGGACGCCCACTTTGTGGGTGGGGACCCTGGGGCCCTGCAGTATGCCTGGCCCCAATCACCAGCGGGCACGTGGCAGTGGTAGATTCACATCCAGGCCTGTGACCTTCCCCAAGACAACAAAACTGCTTCTGCCACCTGTGCTGAGTCTAGGGGAAGATTGGTACCTGCTGCCTTCAGGAACTTACAAACCGGATCAGGAAACCAGACAGGCAGACAAGGTGACTGCACCACATGGCACAGGTGACAGTTCAGTGCAGGTCGCAGGAAGGAGGGGGACAGAGTCGAGTCATTTAGGGGTGTTCCAGCTTCCCAGGACACCTGGAAGAAGCTCTGCCCCTGGGGTGGACATGGATTCAAAGGCGCCTGCGTGGAGGCCACCTTGCCCTGCAGAGGGCTGTCCTCGCGGGAGGGGCCTCCTCTGAAAGCACCTGCTGTCCCTCGGCCATGCCCTTCTCCTTGTGCAGGATGTAAGCTACACTTGCCCATGTCGTCTGATAACCCACTGTGGTGCCTGGGGCATCCCCACTGTTAGGGTTCCATTTATACCAAGATTTAAAACAATGTGTGCACACATATACACGCACACTTTTAAAATTAAGGGACTATATAGATAATATTTAATGAACGTCTCTCAGAGGCAACTGATCACTATAAAATACAACAAATGAAGT